CTTCTGTCTTTAATTAATTCCTATTTTTAAGTTTGGCACAGATATAAAAACTAATAAATTTTTTCAGAAAAAGAAATAATGCCCTAAAAAATCTAGAATCCATGGACCCTCCTTTTTATTTAGTAAAAGGAGATTTATAATTTTAAAGGTTCAAACCACTTCAAGTCTTAAGAGAATGAAAATCGACATAAAAATGAAAACAGAAAAAAAAACTTCAGTCATCAGAAAGACATCAAGTGTTTTTACCATGCTGGTTCAGTTATGGAAAATTTAATATTAGGATTTAAAAAATAAAAACTGGACCTTTATTTTGAAATTTCTCAATTCAACAAAGAATATCTCCATTAAGCAGCTAAATTTACCTGCAGATGAAACTCCACCCCTTCTCACCTGAAGGTCATTAAGGTCTTTGACTCAAAGGAGGTGAAAAAGTCATTTTAACACATTCAGACCTTCATGTGACCAAAACGTCCCTCATTGGAGTCAAACAAAKACCCTAATGACCCTCAGCTGGACTAGTTTCAGCTGGGACTAGGTTCAGCTGGAGGWGTTCAGGTACCCGGGCATCTTGGACCTCGTCCTCAGTAATGAGGGCGTTGCTTCGGTTGGTCGTGGTGAAGAAAGTGTTGAGTCTAAAGACAAAGCTCCGGAGCTATTAGGCCCATCTACATTCCGATGCTCACCTGTGGTCAGGAGGTCTAGATCAGGACTGACAGAACCGGATCCTGGATCCAAGGGGCTGAAATCTTCAGGCTCAGTCTGAGAGACGAGGTGAGGAGCTGCAGCTCCTCTGGATCTAAAGGAGTCAGCTGAGGAGGTTCATCTGATCCGGACGCCTCCTTTTGGAGGTTTTGTCCCACTTGAAGAGACCCCGGGTAAGACCCAGAACTCTGCAGGGACTTATACGTAGATCCTCTCTGATCCTCAGTTACTTTCAGTGACTGACTTGCTAATTTTAGCATTTAACTATAATTTCACTAATTTTAAGGTCAGTTTTGTTTATTTTAGCTTCAAACAATAGTTTAGCAAATTTTTGGTTTTAGCAATATTTTTGCTAATTTTACTTGTCAATCATGATTTTGCTTATATTAGCCTTTAGCTATGGTTTTGCTAATTTGCCATTTCAAGGACAGCTTTGTTTACTTTAGCTTTTAGCAACAGTCTAGCCAATTTTAGTTTTTAGCTACGGTTTTGCTGATTTAACATTACAGAGTTGTGTTCATCTTACCTTTTAACAAGAGCTTAGCTAAATTAAGTTTTTAGTAATATTCTTTGCTAATTTTAGCTAGTAGAAACAGTTTAATTTCAGTTTTAAGCAAAATTTTTGCTAATTTAGCTAGTAGTAAGAGTTTAGCCAATTTTAACTTTCAGCTATGGTTTTGTTGATTTAAAATTTTAAGGACAGTTAGGTTTATTTTGGTATAAAAAACAGTTATGCTAATTAAATTTTTTAGCCATAATTTTGCTAATTTGGGCTTTTAGCTAAATAATATCCAGTCAAACCAAACAGAGTAATATTGTGTATGCTGTTAAATGTCAGGAGGACTGTGATCAGTTAATTATCAGGGAAACAAAACAGCCACTGTTCAAAAGAATGAGCCAGCACAGATAAACAACATCAACAGGCCAGGACTCTACAGTTTACACTCATCTACAGGCCAGGACTCTACAGTTTACACTCATCTACAGGCCAGGACTCTACAGTTTACACTCATCTACNGTTTCGGCTGTGGGTTTTGGCTGTGGGTCCGGCTGTAGTTTCGGCTGTGGGTCCAGCTGTGGATTTCAGCTGTGTGTCCGGCTGTAGTTTCGGCTGTGGGTCCAGCTGTGGATTTCAGCTGTGGGTCCGGCTGTAGTTTCGGCTGTGGGTTTTGGCTGTGGGTCCAGCTGTCTTTTCGGCTGTGGGTCTGGCTGTGGGTTTCGGCTGTGAGTCCGGCTGTGGTTTCGGCTGTGGGTTTCGGCTGTGTGTACGGCTGTGAGTCTGGCTGTGGGTTTCCGCTGTGGGTCGGCCTGTGGATCCAGCTGTATTTTCGGCTGTGGGTTTTGGCTGTAGTTACGGCTGTGGTTTCGGCTGTGAGTCCGGCTGTGGGTTTCGGCTGTGGGTCAGGCTGTGGGTCAGGCTGTGGGTGCGGCTGTGGGTTTCGGCTGTGGGTCTGGCTGTGGGTTTTGGCTGTGAGTTTCAGCTGTAGTTTCGGCTGTAGTTTCGGCTGTGGGTCAGGCTGTGGGTGCGGCTGTGGGTCAGGCTGTGGTTTCGGTTGTGGGTTTCGGCTGTGGTTTCAGCTGTGTGTCAGGCTGAGGGTTTCACCTGTGGGTTTCGGCTGTGGGTCTGGCTGTGGGTTTTGGCTGTGGGTTTCAGCTGTAGTTTCGGCTGTGGGTCAGGACTCCTTCGGCTCATTTCTCCCTGTAGTACAGCAGGTACATCTTCAGGGGTTCGGGCAGCGGCAGGCTCAGGATGCGCTCCCTCAGCACGTTGACCATGGGCTGGGGGCGGAGCAGCTCGCCCGTCTCCTTCTCCTCCTCCTCTTCCTCCTCCTGCCTCTCCTCCTCGTCCTCCTCCTCCACCGGCTCCTCCTCGGCCAGCCCGCCCCTCGCCGGCCGCCGGCTCCCCCTCGCCGGCCGCCG